TTCAAGTTCGAAGGAGGAACATTTCGTTATGCTTCGTGACGATCGAGATCGTTGTCACTCGACCGTGAAATTCTAAACGGATCTTTGATCCAGAAATGACAAAAATTGAAAATCACTGCGACAATGTGCTGGCAAAATTTGAAAATTAATATTTAATAATATATAATTAGTCGTTTGACATTATGAAAAGACTTGCGTATTAAACGAGTTGTCATCGAGTCTTTCTAATTCCATCTCGTGGAATTAGACTGTCTAACTGTTCAGATAATCGTTCTATTGTGTTCACGAGTAGCATGCACGTCGTTGACCGGGTAAGAAAGTGGAGCTTCCGTCGGCCAAAGCGGAAGTGCCACCAAAATGCTCGCTGCAAGCGGTCGATGATCGATTTGCTTGGTATTCTGTACGCCGTGCTCATCTACCCGAATAATTAGCGAGAATCGAGTGCACTAATCGCGGTTGTGTGTTTATTTACATTTAAAATTACATCAATAGGTCGTTGGGAAGATTTTTACTCGAAAACCTGCAAATAAAAGAACTAGTTTAAAAAACAATTGATTTAACTCGTTTCTCTGAATCTCTTTAAATGACAAGTACAGTCGTGTCAAGACACATGTTCGTAATATAAAACGAGTAATTGGCTATCAAGTCAGGAATGGCTATATAACTTCCAAGAATAGCTATATAAATGTAATTAAAAAAAAGAAAATAGCAAATCAACAAATAAAAAATATTGACGAGTTCGTCTTCACATAACAATGTAGTTACATTAAAATAAGTGTTTAAAATTTTTTTTACCTTTAGCGACTTCTGCGACTTACTTCAGATTTAATAGATATTTAGACATAAATACTAGACTTCATTTTGTTATCTATATGCGCATAAATATGAATTCATAATAAATCTACTACTTTGCAAGCTAGATAAAGATGTCGCTCGAATTACGCGTGGACCACCAATGCGGTTGTATCGCGTGGCGACTTTATGCAGTTTGCGTATTCGTGTTATGTGAAAGTGTTTCACGTACCTATATACATACGTTACACGACAAGTTTTAATTGCTATTCCGTCCGAATTCCCCTCTATTACATCTTATATAAAACTGGTAAAAGTTGAGATTTCGTTCTCTTTGTGTTGACCCGCGCGATCATTGATCGAAAAGAAAGAAAAACGGAAATACCGTTAGATCGGTGAGCGGATCTGCTTTCCCGATTTATCCAGCGCCACGTGGATAAACGACTCGATCGACCAAAATACGCCATAGATATGCAGTTCTCGTGTTGCACACGTAACTCGGATTATTCAAGCTTCATTCTGGTTGCTCGTCTCGTATTCAAAAAAATCGAAAGTCTCTACCGATCTACCTTGTCTTGATTCTTCCTCTTTTTTTAATAGTTTTTTTAATAGAAGCGATTGCCAGTAGTATTCCTACTTTGACATTTTAATGTTTCTGTTGGAAGTGCGACTCGATGTTATAAATGTCTTTCATAATATAAGTCTTTAGATCATATAAAAAGCGCCAATGACACGAGAGCATTAATAATTCCTACACGAGCACGCGATCGCGTGACAGATGATTTTCATAAATGCAAAATTTTCTGCGAGATGTGAGAAACCGATTCGATTAGTATTTCCAAATTAAATTGAACGACAGTTGTCAATTTGTTTTCCATCGGTCGGTATTGAAGGTCGTGTACGTACAATTTGACACGCACACTACGTTAAACGTACATATATATGCGGGGGTGTACGGTACAGTTCGATATATCCGATTTGGAACAGAAAGGTTTTTAAGAGAATGTATGCCTTCATTTATCGCGGTCTCGAATGGAAGTAGGTCAACCAGAAGATTTTGTAAAATATTATGAAAGTATGTGGAATATTTCTATTCAAACTGTCAGATGTACATACATACGACTGACAAGACTGCACACACGGTGAATTTCAGGTTAATACCCGTATTACATTTCCAATTATTTCGTCGTTACACTTCCTCGACTTCCTTCACTTATTCACTTTTTTGATTTCATAAGACCAAACACGCCTATGTATATTGTAATACGCATGAAATCAATGACACATTGTAACCACCGGCGTTTTTCATATTAAAGAGGAAGTACTATATACATTCTACGTTACCAGAAAAATCGAAATACCGTACGTATTGTACGTAGCCTTTCACGATTGATTCGATGTTTTCAGAGAGTCGAATCTCGAACGACTGACATCGATTTCTCGCGCGATTTCTGCACCAAAGTATTACGTACCATTTGTGCGGTGTACCTATTTTAAAATATTGGCAAAGTTACCTCGATGATATCGGCGTCTTCTGCTTTATACTTCAACAATATCTCTGACGTATAGCGAATAATATAATTGTTCGTATATGTATATATATTGTATATATATATATATATCTCAGATTCCTTGATAACACATGTACGATACGGCAATGTTGTTACTTTTGGACATGTCTGCGCACACCGAATTGGATGTTTTCGCACGTAGGTGAGAAAAAATTTATCTCGACAGGTAAGTTACGTACACTGTCACACATTCAACGATACAAAATGATCTTGCATTCCAGAACGAAGACGCGCTCGCGGAATATAACTCGTGATCCTCCTTTCGGATGAAATACGCGGAGAGAATGGCTGGACTGTCGCGAGACGAAACAAAGAGAATCAAAACGGAATGATGTACCGTGTACTACTGCAGTGGTTTACAGAAAGGGAAGGACGAGGTCTCTGAGTGCACGGATGGTCTCTGAGGACGCCCGAACGGTTTGAACGTCTTTCTTGCACTGAGAGAAGAGTCCAGTTGAGCAATAACACGCAGCCACCGGCAATCGTGTGTTCACATACCAATACATGTTCTCTAGGCCAACGCACCTTGCAGGGGTATACTGCTACGCGCTATATGCGCGCGCGCACGTCCACTTGCCGGTAAATACACTCTCTATCGGTCCACTCATGGGCGCCGAAGCAGTTGGCAGCACTGCTAAAAAACTCGACCCCATGATCCTTTGTGCCAGATTCCAATGATCGTGTTTTCCTTTATCCCTTCCGTAGGTAAGAAACCCGTCGACCGACTATAAACGATTCATTATCGATTCACTATCCGATCGTTCGTTTGCGTAGTTCTTTCAGATCGGCATCAGTGATCCCGTCTGCAATTCAATATTCGAGATTATTCGACACGACAGACCGAACGATCCAATTTGCTCTTGCGCGCCATTTCGTCCTCGGTGAGTGCTGAAGTTTGCTTTTTCAATGCTAGAATTATCTTTCGTAGATTTTTCAAACCTACTATTCTTTAACACGTTTGATATGAAGGTTATTTTAATATTACCCAATTTTCTATTATCAACAAATCGTGTAATTAATAATCAATCGTCCGTGACATTTCTCTCGTCGTGGATGTTTTAAAGAATGGTTAGGAATGTACAAAAAAAAAAAAAAAAAGAAAACAGAAATTTCTTGCGAAACCTAACATTAACGTCAGGTTTTGAAACAAGTGTTTTCCCCTCGATCGCTTCTACCTTTCGAGGTTATTTTCAAATTCCCATTCACCGACGCCAATGCGCGCGCGCGCTCACACACACACACACACACACACACACACACACACACCCCAAGAACGTCCGCGATTGCACCACGAAACCGTACAAGCGTTACAAACTTACACATCGAACCTACATTTGTGCGTGTTCTTTTTTTATACGCACGTATGTCCCAAGTAGCTTTCGATTCCACAGGCTGCGAGGCAGGTGGGAATGTGTGCGTGTCTATATACGCACTTTTCTTCACGTCGTGTGTCGTAAATCGAAAGTGCGCGGCCTGCAGTTGGTCGCCAATGCCGTCATCTTCCGCATGCGAGGACCCCTTATGCACCGACCTGTTGCGTAAAACCTTTGCAATTCCAAATTGGTCGGAAAGATATTCGCCGCGAAATTAATGCATCGCTTGCGACATCCGTACGATCATGGACGATCTGTAAAAAGCCGCAGTCATGATGCTGTGTAACCGACTAATACTTCCGCTTTAGAATACAATCCCTCTGTAACTGACTCAAAAAACTCATTAAGGATGGAGCAATAGTAGAGGTTGTAATATTATAAATGATTAGAAAATATGGGACTGGGAAAGATAGACTAGATAAGATACAATTATGAATATATAATACATTATATATACAATATGAATATATTGTATATATAATATATGTACAATATATATTATATATACATTTGTTTTATTACAAGGTAGTTATGACAAGGAAATTTGATAGAGTTTGATAACTTGTGAAATTTTATTAACAATTTTGATTCAATTGTGCAAGAGAGTGGCTCTGTTGGTGTCTATAGGAATTAGAGGTTTAAAATGAAATGTTTAATGGTATACAAGCAATCAATTTCAATGTGCATATGTACAGATTTAGAATAATGTCGGGACGATAATTAATTTCGAATAAGATGTTGTGTCAAAATTCCTGAGAAAAGCGAGTTAATTTTCTGTATGCATAAAGAAGGACCGCAAAATGATTTCATAGGTTCTGAATCATCGAATCATTGTTCTCTATTTTCCGCGACATGAAACAGGCAATCTTATCTCATGCATAATTTTGAACACGTAACACAGATTCCATTTATGTGTACTCGTAGGTACTGTGAAGCTATTGCAATTTAAACGCGAATGATAATGACATCTACTGAACTTATTATACAGAAGAATACATTTGCATTTTGAGAATATTTACGTTGATGTATATCTAATCGCGATGGAAAATTATATCTTTATAAACTGTCATTGATTTTTTTCATAGAACCATAATTATTTACTAAATAATGATTTGCATTGTTAACATAATCTCGCCATTGCATACGGTTTCTCGTTTCTTTTATTATGTTTCAAAATCGCATAACTCATATTGTCGCGTCTTTCATCATTTTCGCACTTCACTGAACAATGCTGAGATGTTGTAATAAATACTTCGAAGCATGATTTCAGTTATAATAGTTTTTATTGAAATTAAGGTTCATGTACAAATAATTCGAAATTTGTTCTTCTCGCGTTTGTTTACGAAACTAAATTCTGTTATTAGGTAAGTTTAGGTAATAAAGTATGACGCGGTTCCTCAGGGACTGGATAAGCATCAACCATTGTTTGAACTAATTTCTTATCAGTCGCCATGACATAATTACTTTCACTAAAGCCAACTTTAACTTTATTACGCTCAATTTCCATCTTTCGCGAAGCAGATGAGTGAAACTCTTTCACTCCAGATTCTGAATGTATCTTCAATATATTATCTTTAGTAATACCAGAAGCTGCCACCACAATGATTTTATCTTTCGCTTCGTCAACGAGCTTCTTTATTAATTTTAATCCCTCCTCGGCAGTGTTTTTATGACCAGAAGTCATAACTCTTTTAAAACCAAGATCTATCAAGATTCGCAACGATCTTATTGGATCACGGACTTGGTCGAAGGCTCGATGAAAGTTTACTGGCAATGGGGAAGCAGCAGCAAGAACCAATCTACAAGCTTCTATGTCAATATCGCCGTCTGGCGTCAGTGCGCCAAAAGAGAAACCGTCAGCATCGCTTTTTTTCAATGCTTTTAAATCCGATAACATAATTTCTATTTCGTTTTTCGTATATATAAAGTTTCCAGGACGTGCTCGAAGCATAGCGTAGCATGGTATCAGTGACATGCGTGAAACAAATTGGAAAAAGCCAACAGAGGGTGTTAAGCCACCCTCTATGATCACAGAGCAAACTTCCAATCTCGTTGCACCACCTGTGATCGCATGTCTCCCTGACATCACGGAATCGATACAGATTTCCATCTGAAATATAGTGTTGGATTATTGTAAGATACGTACGCATGATTTAATCTACTGAGAAACAAGCAGTAAAATAATGTATAAATGTTCAGACCAAGATTATTATACAAATGTAAAAATTTGGAAAGACTTGTAAATCGATAAAATTTGCAAAAATATAGAAACAAAATTAAATATGAATCTGAGAAAACTTGAAAACTTGAAAATTAAGAAACTTTGGAAATTTTCAAAATTGATCGACACATTTGTAATAAAATATGAAAGCAAAATTGTAAACTTAGAAGAACTTGGAAAATTAAGAAATGAGGTTCACTGTCAATGATTAATGGATCTTTAATTGGCTAAATAACGGCGATGCATGCCTACTGTTTCTATTCAAAAGTGTTACCAATTTCCCGCTAAAGAGCGTGACGGAAAATGTTACTAGCTGTTTGTTTGGAACAAGCAAAGATGTTGCGTTATCACTGTGACAGTTATTTTATTTTCGAGAACAACACTATTATTCGTCAGAAAAGATCGATGTTGGATATTTGGACAGATTCTCTGATTACCTGCTTGAAGATACACGATACTTAATAAATTGAAATGAACGACAGGAAAGCACAACAATGCGAATAATAAATGCACTTGAATGTGTTGCGATGTGTTACTGATTGTGAGACGTTCAGTTCGCCATCTACAGAGATAAGCTGAATTATTTGTAACGTTTGAAAAGTAAGCACGAAAAATGATGATTTTAAAAATTTTCACTTGAATGCAATATCGATTAGTTTATCAAAATCTAGATGAAAATGATTTGGGGATTTATGTGATTAATAAAACAGTACATTAGTTTTAGCTGAAATTGGAGTTGTTAACGATACTATTAAAAGTGTCATAATTATTACCATAATTGTTATTAATATCTACAATTTTGTAGTATTAAGTGTATATATGCATAGTTACTAAAATCAGTAAGTCATCAACTAAAAATAAAAGTATTTTATACAATAAATTTATTCGATATAATTAAATGTAATTCTATAAAAAAAAAAAAAAAAAAAAAAAACAAGTACTTATCTGTAAGAGATTTAGTTAGATAAGTAATCAGAATATTTGTTTATCTCGACTTCAAAACTCGATGGAGTTCCAAGAGTTTTTCAACTCTTTACTTGAAATATTAATAGAACATTAACGGGATATTGATATTAATTAGAGAACTAGTTTGCCACTCGTATTTAATAATTGAAATACTCTATCATTTTTTCAAATTGAAATTAAGATTTTCCACAAGATTTTAGGATTTTCAACTGTCTTAAAGTCGAAATCAAATAGTTTCTGTTGTCAGTCACGTACCTTTAAATATGTCTGTTCTTCCCTGGTGGTGTGAGAAATGAAACGAATCTTTTCAACTTGATTTACTGACTTTAATTTTAGAGAATCAGCCTGCTGATTTCTACAACGACGACGATGGCTCCGGTCTCTCGAGAAGGCTTAAAGAGACAATTAAGTGTTAGTAATTAAAATTGAAATTTACTTACATAGATATTCTTTGACTAACTTGCTTTTCGATTGATTACGAACGTTTTCGCCAACTGTAACCAGATTTTTTCTATTTTATATTCGTATGGCTAGGCATGACAACCAATCACATTTAAAGTATAGACCGGTAATTTATTGTCCTATAAAAAATAATAATATGATGAAAGTCACATTCGTCGATCGTGTTTACACCTTTAATCCATAACGAACTTGCGGATAAGCAACTGAAATGACAATAATAAATGTTCCCGATACAAAAGTCTCTGGGGGAGCGCAGAGTATGTTAGAACTTCCTGTCAACTTACAAAAAATGGACGAATCGTGGCGATAAATATACACATACGATAATACAATTTTTTTTATATCGACATGAAGTCCTTGATTTGTCCTTCGTCAGTTAGCAAATTATACTGTATATCGAGTGTCGTTAACAGTTCTAGAATTTAATTTAATTTAATTTCTTCCAAGTCTCAATTCCTGATGTACAATGCTTTGGTTTCTTTGCTACCTCGTAATTATCTCTTGTTCATTGAAATTTTCACTTACTTTCTGAAATACTTTCAGAATCCTCATTTGTCAATGAAAATATGGACGGAAAACTGTTTGAAAAAGGTGAATAAATACACGACACGATAATTTATAAAGCGCAATGAACTTCTGTATTATACAACATATAATAAAATAATACCAAGAGTTATACAAGTAGAAAATAATAATATTAATAATAATAATAATAATAATAATAATAATAATAATAAATTGTAACAAATATTTAAGCGAAATTCAAAATAGGGCATTGGCAAATAAGGGTATCTAGAGGTCTAAAAAATAAAATATTTAAAAATGACAGCAAGGAAAATAGGGAGGGACGACAGACGAAGTAAAATGCTCGTCGTGAGTCAGTTTGTCAATTAATAATATGATCAGGACGCGATTAGATTACAGAATTCGAGAGGGGATCTAAAAACGATTCGCGGTTTCTTTTTTTTTTTTTTTTTTTTTTTTTTTTTTTTTTTGCGACCGATTTGTAAGCGGGCCCGGCAGTTGTCTTTGGAAAATTCAAGTAACGATGGATCTTTCTCTTTCTACTGCCCGACCGATTCGGATCTTGCCTCATTCGCTCAATTTTATATAGCCAACGGGAGCCTTTCGTTTTCTTTCTTTACTCTCCCTTCATTCTTTCTTTCTTTCCTTCTTTTCCTCTTTCTAATTACAACGCGCGAGAATCGGCGAGAAATCAAAGATCGCCGTTCGACACCGCGATCGGCGACGGACTCGTCGGATTGCTCGAGCTAGTTGTCCATTTGTTTTTGTGTGGATCGACGCCGAAACCTTCGTCGTAGTTTCCTCGCGTGATGAACAGCTGCTTGAAGTGCGGGATGCAGTACAGTTTACCATTATTCAAGGTGAACGTGTCCATCCTGTTTTGGTGAAAAAGAAAACAATCGTTTATTTCTCTTGCTCCATTTGATGGGCGCATGGCGTTAAAATATCGTAAAATCTGCGATTCTAGAGGAACACGAATTCTTTTATGTACGTAGATATGCAGATCTATGGATATTTCTATCTAGTTGGCGCTGAAGGGGAAGAAGAGAGAAAGAAAGAGAGAGAGAGAGAGAGAGGGGATGATGAGGTTTTCGCTAGAGGGGAGGGGAAAGAGCGTAAGATTTCAGCGAAGATTGCAAAACGTTACCTTAGCACGCAATTGCACTGCAGACACCGGAAGCACTGTTTGTGAAATATTTTGTTATTTGTCTCCACCTTTTCTAGGGGGTACACTTTCTTTTCGCAGCTCTCGCACACGTCCGTACAGCTCGCCTGAATCTCCTGCGTCGATTTTAGATTGGAAGAAAGCAAAATAAGTGGTGAACAAAAAAAAAAGGGTGCCGGATGAAAGGTGTGTGATGGGTTAATGAGAAAGGTGGACGAACGCGTGCACTGTGTCTATTGTTACGTTTTCCCGGGAAAAAAAGGGTTTCATTTCGATAAGAAGGATTCCAAAGACCAATCATCGTCGACGAAACGAAACTGAGAGAAACACACTCCGGGGGGGGGGGGGGGGGGATTGCCCTTCTTTTTTTTTTTTTTTTTTTTTACAAACTTTTTTCCCCAATTTTTCTCCAACTTCTATCACGCTTCAAACTCACAACGTGTATTTTCATTTCAGGATGTGCCCTTTTTTTATTTATCGTTTGTAATATCATCGTAATAAATTGTTACACGTGAAAGGTAAAGAACAAGAATATCATACCTCGCTAAAAATTATACAATCCGAGACGCAATGAAAAAAGTCTACGCGTGAAAATAGTGATCGCATCGGTAGGCCGTGGAAGAAATCAAGCGATCGATCGATCGAACTAATTGCTCGCATAAATATTTCTCTCGCCAATTACAACAACAAACAATCGCGCGTTTTTCGATTACTCGACAAATCCTTAAAAATTATTGCACATAAAAATTCCACCGTCGACTAAGAGAACAATCTCTCGATCGACATCATCAACGAAGAAGAGGAGACATCAAGTCGCGTAGAGAATATATATACCTTTTCGATCTTGTTCTCTCTATTATAATACTTAAGTAGTTCTTTTTTTTCTCTTTTTTCTTTTTTTTTCTTTTTTTTCTTTTTTTTTTTGATTAAAAAAAGTTCGCTAATGCCTCTAAAACTTTGCACCATCTTCTGACATCCTCTGGCCGACACAGAGAAAAAGGAAGAGGTCTCGAGAGAACCCTGAAATTGCACTTCGATTCGGTTAGTTCATCTTTCGCTTCTCTCTCCCTTGCACTCTCTTTCACTCGCTTTCATTCTCTCTCGTTGCAATTCCTATGGCGTACACGCAAAGGAAGAATTAGAAAGCAAAGGAAAAAAAAAAAAAAAAAAAACGCTGTATCGACTAATCCCTCGCGAGTCTACGACCATTAATCTGACTTTGCGTCAGCGTCTCTTCGGACGTGTTTCATTAAATATAGTTTGTTAAGAAGAAATTATACGACTTACGTTACATTAGCAAACCGATCGAAACTGATTTGTCTTCGTTAACTTTTAATTACTTGTGAAGCTTGATTAACCTGATTGACAGATCAATTCGAGAACAATTTCATCATAGAGAAAGTACCATCGGTGAAACGCCCTTGTGTCAACGTCCCGTATTCAACGCGATCGAAATCAATTTCAGGGAACTGTTCCCTTTCTCCTACTGGGGTGCGCTCGTCTAAATAGATCATGGGGGACTCGATACACGTCGTTCATTCTATGATAAACATATATATATTATTAATATTATTTATATGCATACGTACATATATGAATGCGTACTGTGTGCGTCCGCGTTGGCAATGGCGGAAGGAATTAATGTCTGCCCTCTCTTTCTTCCTTTCTTTCGTTTTTTTCCTTTCTCTTTCTTTCTCTGTCCGTCGTGTAATACCATTGCGGAGAACCCTAAACCCCTAAATGGCTACGACGAGGCTCCCTCGTATTGTCCATCCATCGAATATTATAAAAAATTACATAAAAAGCCTATTTGATAACGCTTGCCTCGATATAATCGAGGTCGGTTTTATCCCCTACGTAAGGAACGAAGATTTTTCATACGTTTCAATTCACTGGCTGGATGATACGGTAAGGAGCTCTGAAATTCGATTCGATTCGTCGGACTGCCCTCCCTCCGTTGCGCTGGAACCTTTTCAAGTCAATTCTTCACCAATTCTCGGAACTTTGTGCGAACCATTTTGAATAGAAGTGCTACCAGAATCCTTTTGCATAAATAGCAAACGGTGTCACTGAAATTCATTTATAAAATTTCGTTTCACCGAGTGACTCATCCGTGACTCGTGACTTGTAAATTGTCACCAACAATTATGCAAAAAGACTCTAGGGGAAACTAATTGCCTCGTATGCGTTAAACTTTCGTCGTATAAACGTGTACAAATGTATATATATAATGTAGATTTGCCTTTGTAAAAAATGACACTGTGATTGTTTCGTGGAACGTATCGGTGAAAAGATTCGTCGAGTTCCAGGCAATGAGGGATTGCTCGTCGTCTTTCTCCTCTCTCGTTTTCTCTAATCGTTTCTCTAATCGGTAGATAACGATCCACCGCGCTGTAAAAAGACTCGAAACTCTGTAAAGCGTTCGAAAAGCTCGTAGATTCTATGTACGTCTAGCCGAGACCAGTCTATACGGCGCAATCTCGATTTCTTGGTTCGATGCATCCTGATTATTCCTACTCTCTTCTCGCGTTTCATTCGAAACTTAAATCGCACTGATACAGCACACGCAATGAAACGCCACAGATATACCTCTCGCAAAACACCACGAGGTGTTGTTTCGTTCTCAATTCTCAAAACAATTCTCTTTCCCAAGGTGTTTATCTTCTCGCCTCTGATTTTCACTTGACGCTCGCAAAACAGGGAGATTGTTGGTTAGGAGGTGTGTGATTCTTAACGAAGCAAGTAGACGATACAGAAATTTCCACTGTTCGAATTTCGCATCCTTTCTTTAGCACGAGATTCTTAAAGGAAATTATCAAGTCATTGTCTAGTAAATAAATCGCTATTGGATTTCTACGACACGTACACATTAGCACTTGTAACAGCGCGTGAACGTTAGTAAAAGATACATAAATTAATAAGACACTAATGGCTAAAAGCAACGCTTATCATATTCCTGTGACTTTCATTCACACCAACAATACGCGATACGAATTTTCATTTGGCACGCGATACGAAATAAACGTCCCTCTGTTACTATCGTTTTCTACCTGCATCGCTAGGAATTGATTAGTCACGTAATACAACTAATATTACTGTCGTACAAATGTTCGGTATATCCGTCGAAAAACGTATTACAAACATCATCTCGTGTAAAAGACTGATTCGAAAAAACGGCACTTGGCAAGCCAAGTGGCAACACGACACGTTCGAGCGACGGGGGGAAACGAGTTAAGCGAGAGCATTGAAAAACGATCGCGAAATATCTCTGTTTCTTTTCTTTTCTCTTTTTTCTTTTTTTCTTTGCGGAGACACGTCGGAGCACTTGGATCAGAGCGCAGATTTAACCACGGGGGCGCAGGCGACGCTTAAAATAATTACCGTCAGTTTCAATTCCATCGGCTGATCCGTTTGATTGATTCACTTCAAACGCCCGGCCTTGTGCTCGACCTATCCGATATTTCTCGTTCGTTGCCCCTCGCGACAAATACGATACAGTATGATACAATCTGCGCTAATGATTCACTAACAGAACGCTTTGTTAGAAAAAGACTTCTAAGAAAAACGTAAAAACCGCGCAATGATCCGGACAACGAAGCTGTCGGCTGTTGTTTCCTTCCACTGAAGCGCTGGATTCCAACGAATTTCGTGATCATCGTTTCGTGTATGTGTGTATATACGCGTGTGTATGTGTGTGCGTGCGTGTGTGTGAGTAACGTGTGCTCGTTTCTGTGTTATCTTCTAAATTCTATTCACTCCGTTTGCCGTCAGGCCCTCCGGGTCCATCTTGTTGGGCCGTATCGATCCTCCTCTCCGCCATTTACTGTTCACGTCCAACAGAGAATAGTATCACTAGATCATACCTCGAGTGAAAGCTCGGCCAACACTTTGCAGGCGGTAAAATCTCAAGATCAAAATAACGAGACACATCGGCAGACACGTCACATGTATCACGCTAACTATGTCATGCTGTGCGGAATTTGTGAAATTTTAGTGGACAACAGTTATCATTCTCGGCAGGAACAATTGTTATGCGGTTCTGTTTTTTTTTTTTTTTGTTCGGCTTGCTCGAGGTCCAGGTTTCTCTGTTTCCTCTTTCGGAGATGCCTTTGCCAGCGGTTCGCGTTAGTTCGTGTAGCTACTGAAGTTCTTGGTACATTGTTCGAAAAATTAGAGGGTTCGGAACATTTTGTAGATCGATTTGAAAATAAATTTTTCATCTCGGTTTTATCAATGTAATTGTTGCAAAAGTGTATAAATAGAAATTAAACGAGACATCGATTCTCCAACTTTTTCGAGCAATATATACAGAGTACGTGTATATCTTGTGTACGCTCAAAGAATTGTAAAGTATTGTACAAAAAGGATTATGCAGTTTTTTATCTCAGCAACTGTATACGATTACAAATTCATCGAGCGTACAGTTATATATACACATTACAACAATTCGTACAAAGTCACTCATCGTAGAAAGAAACGTAAAAAAAAAGAAAAAACGTATCGTAACTAAACAAAAATAGCGTTACGTTCCTGTCGTCGCAGGGTAAATCGTGCTTTAATAGAAAACGCACACATTTTACGCATACATTTATAAAAGAAAAAAAATATATATATATACCAAGGTTCTGTACAAAATTGGGCAACAGAGGGATTGAACCCTTAAAAGAAAGCTATTGCCAAGGAAAGTCATACTTGTGCTATCATGGACGAAATTTTATCCCAGTGCAACTCTTCTTTCGATTTAAAAATCCGTAGTCACCGTAACTCGTTACAATGTTCAATTAACGGAAGGAATTTCAATTCATTTTAACAATATCGAGCTACATGAAAATTCGGAGCACAAATAAGAGCTGCAATTTGGCTTTGGGAAATTTCATTCATGATAGAGCGTGAGGGTTAAACAACGATTATCAAGACACGCCATGCGATAAATGAGCCACGTTTCACACCCAGAAGTACAATGAAAAAAAAAAAAAGAAGAAAAGAAAAGAAAATCACAACGAACACGCAGAAGAAAAATAAAAGAAAAAAAAAATAGTGATTTCTATCATATGCAGTGCGATTGGAAGTCAGACGAATATTTTTGGTACCATCAAAAAAAAGAAAAAAAAAAAAAAAAAAAGAAAAAAAAACTCGAAAAGGAAAGAAAAATATAAAAGTGAGAACCGGGAGGAATTTCTCGAGTAAAATCGAATCGTTCGAGAATTTCCCGAGAACGCCGAGGCTCATTGCGAGCGGAAATTGAAGAAAGACGCGGTGGAATTCAAAGGCGAAAGCGCGAGGGTCTCTGACTTCCGGCGTGGAGATACTCTTCGAGTGTGGACGGTGCAGAAACACGAAATTGAAAAGCGAGAGAACTTCCTTTGGGACCGTTAAAGACGAAAATTTTTTTGAAGATGTTCAAGTCTGAGTTGAGACACAACGAAGATGGAAAAATGTGGTTTTAAGTGAAATGTGCCATCTCGTTAAAAGTAGGTGAATGTGTTCTCTCGGTGAGGAAAATTGATATGTTGTGATGATAATAAAAAATTGCTGTACTTTTCGTAAACTAATTAGCAAATAGCAACAGTAACAGAAGCTGTATATTCTCTATAAAATGAATGTATTTTTATTTAACGAAACAAAATATTCTTGTTATTATTATTAATGTTATTCTTATTGGTATTTTCTTCAATTCGTTTTTACTTGAAATTTTGTTGTATATTTCATAAAAGAAATGTGCTTTTTCCTTCAAAGGTTGCATCTTTCACGAAGTACGCGTATTTTTATAAAAAAGTTTTCTTTGTGTTCCTACCATTTTTAATAACACTTTTGTGAAGTGTATTTTACAAAAAATTGCATTCTCCGTAAAATAAATGCGTTTTTGCGAGGAAAATTCTGTTTTTCATTTAACAAACGTATTTCTGTGTTAACAAATGTATTTTTATTAAAATAGCTACGCTCTCACTATTTCCACTAATCTTTTTTTATTAATAATATTTCGTTTTTTCATGAAACAAACAATGTTTTTTGCAAAACGAATATTATTCTCCATTTGATAAACGTATATTTGCATTAAAAACTGTATTTTTCATTGCACTCACGTACAATAAAATGTACATATCTTTTTGAAAGCATTAAATTCTTAACGAAACAAATATGTTATTTTCCCCCACCAGAAGAGTTTGATGATTCTGCGATACAAAAATGAATTTTTATGAAGCTATTCAAGCATTTGCAAAACAGATGTACATACATTCATGAAAAATTCTGCATTCTTCATAAAACAAATACGTTTTTATAAAAGGATTAAAGCTTTATGCTACATACGTGTATATATATATATGTATATTTTTTTTCACACGAAAATTGGAATCCCTATGAAATGAATCTGCGTTTTCATAAAACAGATTAAGTCTTTACGAATGTATTTTACGAAATGTATTTTTACGAAACTTATGAAATAGAAATTCCGACCGTATCCTTTTTTTCTAAGCTCCTTAATCATCCTCTTTTGAAATTATAGTATAGTATAGTATAATACGTATAATGCAATTAGATATACCTAACTATGAAGTTTAAAGTGGATTATAATCCACAGCTAAATATATTACATTACAATAATATTGTAATATCATAATATAGTTATATTGTATAATAGTGGTACAACGATATTATAGTAGTATAACAGTTGTAGTATAATAATATTATAATACAATTAAAGAATTACACTTCTTCATTACAATTTTGGTGTTGGATTATAATCATATTATATTACAATATTTAATTATAATATCAATATACATATAATATATTATAATATATTTATGTAATTGAATATAAAAAGAATTATATTATATGTAGTATCAGTTACAAGTTATTCATATTAGATTGTAATCTGAGACACGACCTAACCTCAAACACCTCAATCTATTATACAACCTTGCAATGTACTTAATGATGTTTAATTATAATATCAATATACATGTGATATATTATAATACAGTAATATTATAATATATTTATATAACTGAATATAAAAAGACTTATATTATATATAGTACTAGTTAGAAGTTATTCACATCAAATTGTAATCTCCAAAACGACCTAACCTCAAACACAAATGAATACCTTAACCTACAATGTACCTAATAATGTTTAATTATAATATCAGTATACATGTGATACATTATAATACAGTATTATTATAATATATTTATATAACTGAATATAAAATGAATTATATTATATATAATACTAGTTACAAGTTATTCACATCTGATTGTAATCTGCAGAAGGACCTAACCTCAAACACAAATGAATACCTCAACCTACAACGTACCTAATAATGTTTAATTATAATATAATGTGATATATTATAATATATTTATATAACTGAATAAAAAAGAATTATATTATATATAGTCATCAGTTACAAGTTATTCACATCAGACTGTAATCTGTAAAACAACCTAACCTCAAACTTCAAATGAACACTTCAACTTACAGGATGCCTGATAATGTCGTCGGTTAGATAAAGATTAGATTTACCAGCGAGCGAAGCTACTACGTACATGTAGCTCGATGTTATCTCTGTTTTGAGGTTGATAATCTTCGAAGAAATCTTATCAGAGCCCACTTGATGCAGTAACTAACGTGAAACCGCTAGAAACAATTCTGTCTTTGGGCGATTCGTGTAATAAATTCACCGCAACAACTAGAGGCGGTAGTTTGCCGGAAGTGGCTTCGTAGCCAAGGTTTCCGCCGGCTTCCTTCGTTAATTAAACCGAATTTATTAACCGTTCGATGGCCAAACCTCGATTGGGAAGCAATTCTCGTTAATCTCTCGGCTCGCTAGCTCGGCACCGGGGCGGATCGAGTTACCGAAAATTTTTAGAATTTACGGAATTCGTTAGGAAACTTTAGGCACCTTGGATATTTCCGATATTCCGTCGGAAATAGCTGTAGAATATACACGACGTAGACGCCCGGGATTCTTTGCTTTCAGGTTGCTCTTAAATAGCGGGGAAATTTGGCAAATTTTTTTGTCAGTCGTGATAGTGACTACTTTGACGTATCCTGAAATTTGTTTGAATTTAATTGCTGCATTCTGGTAATTTTCAGCTTCATCACTAATAACAATGTAATGTGTTATTTCAATTTAATTGATATACACTGTCTACTTTTTCTACTTATATTATTATACGTTTATGTATATTGATGTATTTAACTAATATATCGAAAACATTAATTTGTATACAAGTAAATTAACAATTACTCGTATATTTATAAAAAAGAATATATATTAATATATTAATATATTAAAAAGTATAACCCAATACAATATAAATTTATAATTAATATAAGTTGAATGTGTCGTTTCTATTTCATTGATATATAATACCATACACACTGTCTATATTTTCTATTTATATTATTATACGTTTATGTATATTAATACATTTAACTAATATATCAAAAACATTAATTTGTATACAAGTAAATTAATTACTCGTATATTTATAAAAAGACTATATATATTAATACATTAAAAAGAGTAACTTCATATAGTATAATATAATAATATATAATTATTATATTAAATATTCATCTCGATACATTCAACTGACATAAAACTCGCGTGCTTAACAATAATAATACACAACACAGTACATTCTCATACAAATTCAACTTCAACGTCTGTAGAACTTTTCATCCCGCGTCTTTCACCCCTGAAGAAGAGTCCTCAGAAGCTTCAGAAGCTTCTTTCCGTGCGCTGGATAATGATTAGATCACGAATGGATCTGGGAAAACAATTCGCCGACTCGGAACGTCGAACTTTGGCTCAGGAAGCCGGGGGTTTTCCACTGCCAGTTCGATAATGGAAACTCTTCGACTAACGAATCTTGTCCTGTTCAATCATCCGGCGTGATTAAAGAGAGAGGAAAGCCAGCCGGAGTACGCGATGGCCAGGGAAACGAGAAGCGGCCACGGTTTTCCAATGAGGAATCCTCGAAACTACCACCACATATCGCGAAACGATGCCCAACGATGATTGCTCGTTTCGCGTTCGCATTTTTGGAAAATAACCGGTTACTCGTGGCGGAGGGATGTGTTTGGTTGCCGGAAATTAAAAGCCTGGGCCAACCGGACCCGTACGGGCGAACAGATTGCTTGTTTTGGTTTCGCTCGAGGTTCTTTTTTTTTTCAGGCTCTTTCTCTCTACGGTCCTTTTTTTCCTTTCTTTATTTTTTTCTCTTTTTTCTACTTTCTCCGGCGAGAGAGAGGGGGGGATAGGGAGGAAGAGTTGTTTACAAATACCTGCGGTCGCTGCGAACCGTGGTGGAATTTTTCGTTTAAACACTCTGCTAACGGCTAACCTTTTAATCGCGTAGCTAGTTTTCAATATCTTTCTCTATCTCTTCTTTCCTTCTTTTTTTCGAACAGAAAAGAACAGAAAAGACGTAGATCTAGGATTTTTCTTAGGGAAGAGCAAGGAAATTTTGTTTTGCAAATTTTATTTCGTTTCCTGGCTCCAACGAGGGGCAACATGACCGAAATCTCCGAATACTCGAACTTTTAAGCCACCAAACTTTCGACCCTCGAATTTACAAGTTCTCAGGCTCCCGATCTCTCAGTTTTGCAATCCTCGAGTCTGCAAGTTTCCCAGACTCCATCGAATTCTTTTAGTTTCCTAAACGTCGAATCTCCAAACTCTTTGACAGAAAAATTTCTCGATCTTCGATTTACCACGAATTTCCTGAAAAAGTTTTACAAAAGTTTTGCTGCAGAATTTCCAATATTTTCTTCGAATTTATCCCCATTTTCTGAATCTTTTCGAACTTTCAAATATCTTCCAAATATCACTTCCTCGGAATTTAAAAATTTAGAAACTCTCAATCTCCCCATTCAAAAAAAAAAAAAAAAAAAAAAAAAAAAAAGAAAAAAAAGAGGAAAAATTGCAAGGGCTCTCATTCAAGTCTCGATCAATGAGTCGCTCGGATGAGGATGAATGGAGGATGAACGAAGTAGTAGCTCCTACGAAAGAGTACTCACCACGAATCGATTGACTTTGACCTTCGGTGTGCGCGGCGACTCGCTCGTTTGCGAGCCGAGCGACTCGAAACGGGCTCTGAGACTGCTCGCCGACTCTATGCTCAGCTGTTCACCGGCGGTGCTTTGAGCGATCTCCATCTCAGCGATATGTTGATTACTCGACGTCGTTTTCCCGTCCGTTTCCTCCCAGTGCTCGAATTTCGCGCACAAGGTCTTCGCGCGGGCTGCGTTCTGCGCCTGCTTCAGAAACTCGTCTTCTACCTGAAATACACGATTTTTCCTCGTCCCTTCTGTTCTTTCTCAATTTTCTTAATTTACGACGAAACTTTCATCGATTTTGTGTATTTATCAAGCTTCAATCTTATATCATTAATTTACCGTAGCCTTATATTTATCATCGCTAACTAGCTTGTGCACGAGCTGAAAAAATTCTGTCGACAAAATTTACCAAGAACGTCAGAAAAAAGTTTTTCTCCTATTAAAATTCTACGATCGATATCTTACAAAAATAATCAAAATTTTCATATTTCTACTGGTGTAACATCGTACATTGTATGAACGCATGATCTCTATCAGATGTTTCACGGTCAATCTTCTCACCGATTGATCGTACATATTCGTATAACAAAGTAATCTCGAGTTCTTGAACAAACGCTACCATTTTTCACGCTTCACGAGGAACAATGACACGTATATCGGCGTGACATACGAACCTTGTCGGAAGCTCGTACGTAGTTCGGATCCCTTTCCTCGCCGCTGTCTTCGCCTTCGGAATCCTCGCCGTCCTCGTCCTCGTTCTCCTCGGAGTCCGAAGCTGTTGGTTTCGCGTATTTGTCCTCCGGTGGCGGTGTGAAACGTTTCAAGGGCTTGGGTCCATTTGGAAGCTCCTTCTTGCAGGCGTTCTCTTCCATTTGCCGGAAGATCGACAGCATTTTTCTGGCGGTATCCGTGTGTACCACTTCGTTTACCCTGTCGTCCGCTCTCACCACATCTGGATCACGGTAGATCTCGCGTTCCGGAGAGTCCATCTGTCGAAGTGAACACCACGTGAATAACGGTTTTGTGTTTGAACTGTATGGTTCTCTGTCGACTGGCACTATTCCAGTTGAAGATTTATAATTTAATTTCATAGAAATGAAGAAGATACGGAAAATTACAAATTATTTAACGCTGGAGCTACCAAAGTGGCCAAGATGGCCACTTAATAATATTAATAATATATTATTAATATTATATTATAATATTATATATTAATATTAATATTATATTATATATTATTAATAATATATATTTGTAACAGCATATTTTTAGATATTCGAGTGATTTTTAATAAAATATATTAATAGGAACTTGTGTTCTTATTATTGTAACTTATTAATTTTTTTCTTGCGCTTTGCATTTTAATTTCTTCGCTACAAATATTATACTTAATAATATTAATATATATCATATGTTATTAATAATATTAATATATATTATATATTATTGATAATATATATTTATAACAGCATATTTTTAGATATTCGAGTGATTTTTAATAAAATATATTAATAGGGACTTGCGTTTTTTATTGTGACTTATTAATTTTTTTCTTGCGCTTTGCACTTTAATTTCTTTGCTACAAATATTATACTTCAAACTATTAATATATATATTATATATTATTAATAATACATATTTATAACAGCATATTTTTAGAGCGATTTTTAATAAAACACATTAATAGGAACTTGCGTCCTTTATTGTGACTTGTTAATTTTTTTCTTGCGCTATGCACTTTAATTTCTTCGCTAGAAATATTACACTTTAATCATCGGTAGTTCTAACAAGAACGTTGTGTACAGTTTGTAATTTTCCTAGTTCGTAATTGTCCTTTTCATACAAATTTAGATGCCATTCATTCATGGAACATGTCTTTTGTACAACGCTGCACAAGACAGGACACAAGATTATACGTATCGGCATTAACATTAAATTGAAACAAATACATCAAAAATACTCGTTCAAATCACGAGGTTAATGTTAATGCGTCAGTGGGGTTAATTCTCTAAAACCGCAACGTTCACACGAGTAGACACACAGCAGGATGCAATTGCGATAACTATTACTATTCCATTATTATTATTGCTGTTGGAAGTGGTTGGCCAAAGCGTGAACACACCGGGAGACTAGGCAGGAAATCAAGGGAACGAAGGTATACATATTTCGTTTCCACGAATCGCAGCGGCTCTGAGTCAGCCTCGCTGGGGTTTTATACGTGCGCAGCGTCCTCCGTTGGTTTTCTACCTGAGCGGCAGGTAAGCCGAAGACGCGATGACAATGCAAAATCGTCCGGGGTTCTCTCTCCTGTCCCCCCGCCGGTCTCCAGCAACGCGTTTGCGATTTGCGGAGGAACGTGTTTCACGGGAGATATTACCTGCGACGAGACACATCGACCGAGGGAAATACCAGCGAGCAGATCGTTTTGTTGTTTCGAAGGAAAGAAAAAAAAAAAAAAAAAAAAAAAAAAAAGAAAGAAAAGAGAGGAATCGCGTCCATGTACTCGCTGGTCGTTGTTGCAACCGCGAACGAAGGAGTAAGGTTTCACTTTGGAATGATCGGAGATTTATAGGTTATACGCCGGGAGAAAGCTAATTAGTTCGAGTTGCCCGTGCGTACGAATCTTTATTAATGACGTTTCGCTGCATTTTGTTTAAAGCCGAGACGAGCCAGCGTTGAAAACGGCGATTATTATCCAGTACACCTTCCCTGTCCACCGTTCGATTATTGTCTCGAGATAAGAAATGACAATATTTTTTTTTATCGTTTCATGTGAGAAGATCTCGATAATACACGGCAATTAATCTTGCTCTGAATGATATCGATGTGTTTTCACATCGATTCGTTGAAAGTGTTCGAACACTTGTTATACATGGAAAGTTTTTTTGTAAGTAAATTTTATTGTAATTGTATTGGTGCTTAAAGCAAATATATGTTTAGTTGAGAAAATAGTACCGAGTACGAACATTTAACATTAACGTGTAATAAATATTAAATGTTGAAATATTCTTAAACGCGCTTGCAGTAAATATCTTGTGACTTTTATGAATATTCTCAAATTTGTTTCAAACTTGATTGATATAGATCAGGATAGTCGTATCTTATCTCAGTGTTAACAAAATTTGCATACTAAATAATACAATTATTTCGCTATTTGAGCAATTTGCAATTGTACAATGGCTTGTGAAATTCGAAATTGCGTGTCAAAATACATAAAATATATTTGTATTATATAAAATATATTGTAGTAAATATATATTGTATAAAATTATATAAAATATATTGTAGTAAATATATTTTGTATAAAATTATATAAAATATATTAATAGTAAATATATATTGTATAAAATTATATAAAATATATTGTAGTAAATAATTTCTAATACAGTATACATTTCCAATGAAATGTACTTTCCTTTTTTCAAATTATGCAATCGTGACAGCCCGCCTTACAATGTTAATAAAATTTCGAAATATTTTATACGACAAACGTAACATAGAATATATCCATAAAAAAGTATCCCAAGTACTTTCGTGAGCCACTATATGCACATCAAGAGTCTACGCGTGTCTCCTATGGTGTCTTTGATGTACTCCTTTCGCGCTTTGCTCTACTCCACTGCTAAAAGTGGAGGACACGGAGGGAAAGAAAGAAAGTTTTTCTTTTGCAAAGCCGACCGATAGTTCCTCTTCGAAAGGCAAGCGTATGCATATGCATTTGCACGTCAACTATATCGATATATGTTGTACCGTTACTTCGGAGAAGTGGATTCGAGAAAGCGGGCAATTTTCTACACCGATTATACATTTTTTTCAATATTCCACGCTATTGGACAGCGAACACCGGCAATTTGGATACTGCCAATCATAGACGCTCCGCTCAACATTTATTCCGGCTCTAAGTTCCATGGGAAACTCGACAATTAACGTTGCATTTCCAAGGACAACATTTCAAAAATCCTTCTTAACACTTGTAAAATTTAATACAAAACTAGACTAAAATTAAAAAAAAAAAATATATATATATATCCGATTAACATTTTTTAACGCCAAAAAACGCGATACTTCACAGAACTTTTCTTAATAACTCACAGTTTCGTTGTACCAGGAATAAAAGAACGGAAAACGAGAGTCGAATGATATAAAACGAATGTTTAACCGCTTCTCCCTTCGTTAGTTATGGCCTTGCACCACGAGACGAATATTTAACCGCGTAAAAAGCGAGTTTAACAGGATCGAATCACGAAAGACATGCGCAGCGTCTCGCAAAAGTACTTGAATACGCGCCACAGAACAACTTTTACGTGCATGTTGCGTGCGCCGTGCAAAACTTTATGCACTTGTGCATACTCCTACGTGTATATTTCAAACTTTATCAATGATAATCCACCACAGCAGCGTTACAACTCGTGAAATTTTAAACGCACGCGCGATAAAGGTGTTCGAATACTTTGCACGTTTATATACATATATACACACGGTATACATATCGTATTTTATCGTACGTAACACGATGGTCCTACTCACGTTTTATATTCGTTGGCCTTGGATCGACGGAGGAAAATTCAACTTCGACGACGACGACGACGACGACGACGACGACGACGAGACGAAATGAGGTTGAAAAAAAAATATGGGAAATCGAACGATGAGAGACAAAAACCACGCGAGAGAGAGAGAAAGAGAGAACAGTCACGAGAGGGAATCTTTTGTTTCGTTGGCCCCGGCAAACTCCGAACTGGCAGCAGCGTGTCGGCGGTTGCTATGCCGTTCACACGAGGAGGACGCACAGCTCTTACTGTGTTCCCCCTTCGTGAGTTACTGGGAGGGCCAACACGGTGGTTGTGTGTGCTCGCCTCTGCGCTTCGGCCTGTTCTCTCTCGTTCTCTCCCTCTCTCTCTCTCTCTTCACGAATGGAAGGATGTAGGAATACTAACGGTAAAAGTATGGCTGCTGACCACTCGAGGGGGTTCAAGGACAGCCGTGGAATCAAGTGGCACCGCGCGCTGCGCTCGGAGCTTTCACGAGCTTCCTCTCGCTCCCTTTTCTCGGGAACCACCTAATTCCACGCTAATCCCGATAGATCGGAGAACGATCGACAGATCTCGCGCGGAGAAAGTGGAATTTTTCTTTTCTTTTCTATTTTCAGCGTAGGCGGAGACAGATGTAACTCTGTTTGTGAACGTGATTCGCCGAGCGACTACTTTGACGATCTCTACGGAATTCATTGATACATATCGGCGATCATGCAACGGGATTTTTTGTCGATTGGAACGGAGAGATCACCATGCGATAAGTTGTTAAATAACGGTTACGAGAATGTGAAGTTAGTGTTCGTAGGAGAAAAATCAGACACCTCGGCAGTGTTGTATTAACACTTTCACTCGCGAATTAAAACGATTTGTTGTTGATGCGTCGCGATAACAGCCTCTTGAAGAAAGTTAACACGCATACCTTGGTACATAGTAGATTCGAACAAGTAGCTACAAACAAGAGCATTTTTTCTTTTTCTTGTTTTTTAATTTTATATAGAAGAACCCACGTCCACATCGAGTGGATTGAAATTAAATATTCGCACGGGCGTTTTAATTTTCGCGCGATTTGCACGAACTCGTTAAAGCGAAAGCGTTAATGGTCGAGGGTTAAGTTCAAATCTCTCGCTAAAATCGACACACTGAAATGCTTCATTAATAAATTAAGATTGACACTCCTCAATCGAGGATAGTTTGAACACTCGCAGAAAAGCCTCGAACCTTTACTTGGCCGTCGCGCGGCGGGGTGATTCGGAACTGCTTCCGTTGTTTCTCCGGTTCCTTGTACGACTCGAAAAATTTGAATTTATTCGAAATGTCCGAGGTCTCGACGTGAACTTCCTCGGTGGTGTCCGAGCTGCGCACCACGTCATCTGAGACTTGCCGTCCCATGAATGCCTTCGTTCGTACAGATTTCAAACCATTAACCATAATGTCGATCGCCGTACATTGAAACGCATGCAACGTCGATGACTAATTATCCTATTTCGATTCTTAACCCCGCTAATGCAATTTGAATGCATCTTCAGATTATTTTCAACGGCTGTTATCCATTTTATCAATTGTTATCCCTTAAAGTTTAACCTTGTGACGACAGCTACGCCAGCCTCTACTGAAATCTATTTCGTTTTTCCTCTTCTACGTTTAAAAGTATCTCAGTGAAGTTCGAATGTCTTCTTTTCTTTTTTTTTTTGTGTTGAAATTACAATTGAAACCAACTAGTCGTCATAATGTTAACCTCTTGCGCTGGAATGTGACGTGCGTGGCATTTTTGTTCCAAAATTGTAATATTTTCTCAGTTTTAAGTGCATTTGAGTACAACGCGGGCACAAACAAGTAATAAATTTGTCGCTCTTCTCTAATTTCTATCCAGTGACATCGTACAGACGAGTTCAAAAAGAAAGCGACGAATTATCGTATATACGGTTTGTGGTCGCTCGTTATGGTCCGCAATCAGTTGCCAGCGCAAGTGGTTGAAATGTCGTTTCGTTCGTTGAAAACTGTAGCGAACGTTGTAACGTTTCCATTCGAGAATTCTATCAGGAGAGATCAATAGCTCTGGGCGATACAGAAATAAATAAATAAGATAAAAAAAAAAAAAAAAAGAAGCAAAAGCAAAAGAACTTACGTCTCTGGCGCGTCGTGGAGCTTCGGCCGGTGTCTTGGGATTCACTGGAGTCACCGGTCGTCCAGTCTTCGCCGCGGTGGCGTCCAATTCCAGGAACAGCGACCGAGACTTCCTGCTGATCCCTGTGCAACATCAATCGATTTATCTTAGGAACAATGTCCGCTCGAAGTATCGGTTCGCTAGAGCAAATAACAGACAGAGAGAGAGAGAGAGGGAGAGAGAGACACAAAGTAAAGGGGACATTCGGTGAAAGAGGGTGAAACCTCTTCCACTTGGGACAGGAGCTACAATATCTATCTTGAGAGGCACTCTATCTAGACACTCTGCAAGTATGATCATTCTAGCGCACATGGCAGCGCAGATTCAGCGGCCAGAGCCGCTGGCAGTTTTCTGCCGTCGATCCACGCGGCTAATTACATTTAACCGGGGTTCTAAATATATAAACGTTGGTTCGCGGGGCAAAATGCACCTGCTGCGATCACTTCCTCGTCAGCCTTCTCCGGTTTCGGTTTGCTGTCCGTCTCGTCGTCAGACGCAGCGATGGGCTCGCCCCGCTCGAATCGTTCTTTGATGGAACGAGCGTGGGTCGAGTGTTGGATCTCCTCCGCCGCATTGATCTTCGTCACGCGCTCGCTTCCGGCTACCGCCTGCTGATACATCTCTTTCATTTTACCCTGTTTGCCCTGCAACAGAAATCGAGCCTTCCGGTAGCTACACGACACATATACCCTTTGATCTTCAGTCGTCTCATCTGAGACGATGACAAATCTTTCAGCGCAAGACGCATTACATTGCACGAAAGTATTACACGGACACTTGTCTGTTTTTCTCTGGCAGTGTCACGGCTCAGCATCGGTGATTGTATTTCGTGATTGTGTCCCCGGGTGGTGGTTGTATTTCCAATAAAAATTTACGCATTCCTGTGACGTTATAAACTTGCTTAAAACGCTCGAGTGCTTATGTTTCTTCATGAGAAAGAAAATTGTCTATCTCATATTTTCTATATTCTTTAACTGTCGTTTCTGCGTTTGCATTTTCGTCGATCAGCTTCTAGACATTTTTTTTTTTTCACGCTCTTTCTATTAACTGGCTCACTAGATTGTTATTTCTATTATCATATTGTTTTTCATTAATCGACTGCTATTGATTGCTACACTATGTGTTATTTCTACGTTCTTCTTGTTAATTAATCATCGCGTTCTCGATTTTTATGCTCTTTTTACTAATTATTAATAACGTTATATATATAAAATTAATTGTTTTTATTAATTATTAATAATTATTAATAATATTGATTATTATTTATGCACTTTAGATTACGTCCTTTTCGTTAATCGTCTACTATTAGTTAATTACTGTATTGTTATCTCCACGTTCTTTCCTCACTTGATCATTACATCATCATTTCTATATTCTCTTCGTTAACCGACTATTACTAGTTAATTACATTCTTATTTCTATTTGTCTGTTGCTCTATTATTAATCCATCGTTAGATTAATACCATCGACTGTTACTAATTAACTATTATATTATTGTATCACTGCGTTAATTACGTTAATTGTCCGATCGATCATTTCTATATCCTCTTCATTAATCAACCACCACCAGTCAATTACTATAGTGTTATTTCCACGTTCTTTCATTAATTAATTTACATTCTCGACTTTTCACGATCATTAGATCGTTCATTATCTTCTCCCAAAAATACTGGACTCGCGGCGATTCGCTAACTATGTAGAACGAAAGAAAAAAAAGTGACGATACATTCCTGGGTAATCGGTTACAGTGCACCGTGTTACACACGGCGTTGGTGCGCGTTCTAAAAGAGAGAATGCGTGCGCTACATTTCCTTCTCTCCGACTTTTTCCGCGTCTACGTCTAATGGGCTCGATGCCATTAGCCCGGACTACTTTGCCGGCTCTGGTTCGATGTAGATGACCTCGAAACAACGAAACGCGGAATTAACGGCCCAACGAGCCTGAAAACGAACGCGATTTTACCATGAACAGCCTCGAACGAATTCCAGCGATCTCCTCTTTCCTCGCCTCTCGTTGAACCTCGCGCCTCCCCTGCTGGCTGGTCGTCTCCCAACGATTCTTTATGTCGTCCATTTTCGTGAAGCTGATCGGACGCTCGCGGGTCGCCCGTTTCGCCTTCACGATCTCGCTGTCCACCTCTGCGAATTACAGATTACTCCAGGTTACGTGACATATTTGACATTTTCATCGCCTCGAGATTCCAATTGGAGTTGAGTTATAATTTATAGGTTCGACGTTGTATAATTGGCAGAATGTAACAGAATTGGTAGGATTAGGAACATCTTATGGAACTATATGGTATGGTAACATTTAATTTAATATTACGACTCAAAGTTATGATTCGAAGTTGTAGTTATGATGCTGCAGGAGTTTGGAGGAAGTTTGCTCGTGAGGATCGCTTGACGTTCATTGTACTGTAATTAATTAATCACGTAGCCTTTGACGCACATTTAAATTTAATCTAATTCTCTTTTGGCACAAGTACGATTTGAAATTTTAATTCTGATGTAAAGTCTAATTTTTAATCTAATTAAAATTAAATTTAATCTATTTTAATTTTTTTTTGGTACAAGTACAATTTTAAATTTTAATTCTGATTTAAAATCTCGTTTGATTAAAATTAAATTTAATCTAATTTAAATTCAGTTTAATTAAATTTAATCTAATTTTCTTTTGGTACAAGTACTATTTCAAATTTTAATTCCGATGTAAAGTCTAATTTTTAATCTAATTAAAATTAAATTTAATCTATTTTAATTTTTTTTTGGTACAAGTACAATTTTAAATTTTAATTCTGATTTAAAATCTCGTTTGATTAAAATTAAATTTAATCTAATTTAAATTCAGTTTAATTAAATTTAATCTAATTTTCTTTTGGTACAAGTACTATTTCAAATTTTAATTCCGATGTAAAGTCTAATTTTTAATCTAATTAAAATTAAATTTAATCTATTTTAATTTTTTTTTGGTACAAGTACAATTTTAAATTTTAATTCTGATTTAAAATCTCGTTTGATTAAAATTAAATTTAATCTAATATAAATTCAATTTAATTAAATTTAATCTAATTTTCTTTTGGTACAAGTACTATTTCAAATTTTAATTCTGATGTAAAGTCTAATTTTTAATCTAATTAAAATTAAATTTAATCTATTTTAATTTTTTCTTTTGGTACAATTTTAAATTTTAATTCTGATTTAAAATCTGATTTGATTAAAATTAAATTTAATCTAATTTTCTTTTGGTACACGTACGATTTCAAATTTTAGTTCTATAAATTTAATTTAATTTAAAATCTAATTCTAATCTAATTTAATTAAAATTACTATTTAATCTAATTTTCTTTTGGCACAAGTACGATTTCAAATTTTAATTCTGACGTAAAGTCTAATTTTTAATCTAATTTAATTAAAATTAAATTTAATCCAATTTTCTTTTGGTACAAGTACGATTTCAAATTTTAATTCTATAAATTTAATTTAATTTAAAATCTAATTCTAATCCAATTTAATTAAAATCAAATTTAATCTAATTTTCTTTTGGTACAAGTACGATTTCAAATTTTAATTTTAAAGCTATCACCTATTTTTATTACTATGAAGCGATAATTGCATTTTTGGTGCAAGTCCGATCCTAATTTCAATATATATAACATACACATTGTTAACAATCGGAAGAACTCTCGAATCGTACAAAGAAGCTATCCTTCAATTTCCGCGGAAGTCAATCGACTAAAGATCGCTTTATCAAACGAAGAGCCGAAAAGCTGCATAGAGAAAGTAATTTCATCATAATTGTCGAGAGCTCCTCTGCTAAAGAATTCTCTCTGCAACCGATCGGACTTAATTCAACTCGATTCTCAAGAAAAATCATTCACTTGGTACTTGACAATGGAACGTTATCCCACAGCTTTTTAAATCGTCAGTCAAAGCTTGCCGGAGTCGTGGTATCTCGTCGAGCGTGAGGAGTAAGGTTGCGAAAAATGAGCTGCGCCTCTCTCGAGGAAATACAGAGGGAAATACAATTCCCTCCCACAGGGAATACCGTGCAACTCGATAGAGAGAAGAGGTACGGCTCGAAACATCGGACTACGCAGAATCTCGATTTGAATTAAATGTTTCTCTGTTTCCTCACCCTCCGTTTCCTCCGCGTCTTCCTCCTCCTCGCTCTCGCTCGATTCTTCGTAAGGGATCCCATTCAGTGATTCGTCCGCCACTCCGATATCCATGCCTTTCGCCTGGAATCTGGACAAAAAGACGTACAACGTAGTCGTGAACATCATGCCGGCGAATTCTGATTGCTTGGCACACGGACAACAAAACCGGCGCCGTTTGTCCACGGTGCGCTCTTTTATGCACTGGTCGATGGCCACCGAATGAAAATCGCTGATCAGTTCGAACACGAGGCTGTCGCAATCGGACCGGGGACCGGACGTTGGCAAATTCATCGTTCGTCCTACTATTTTACGCTCGTAAAGTCTGCGGCTTGCACATTCTATCGCGTCTTTCGTCTTTATGGCTCTTTGAACAAAGAGCTACGTTACTTCTTTCTTTCGTTTCCATTTCTTTCTCTCTTTTTCCAATTCTAGAAACTCTTCACTCTCACGAAGACACGTGACATACTCGATTCGGGAAATATTCTCTAACGTCGATTTTTAATTTGCAATTCGCAGAAGTTGCAAACGCAAGTGAGTGATTAATAATCAGTTCTCGAGAAACGTTATATTTCGAAAACTCCTTCATCAGCTCTATTATTTCTATGATTTATCTGCTGGTAAAAATCAGTGATTAAATAACTGAACATCTATTCCCTGAATAGAGGCGTGAAATATTTATCGAAGCAAGGCTAAGTAAAGTACAAAGTAATTTAAAACTCAAAATTAATAAAATTGCAAACAAATATATAAACGAGATTCCTGGATTTGAATGAGAGTTTGAAATGTATCTGTAGGAAAAAGGAAACGAAATAATATAAAAATATCATAACTGGACATTCTTTCTCTTATGAAGAACTATCAAAATTGGTCATTGCGGATTGCAAGAGAAATTTGTTAAACGTAAATTCAAATCAGTAATAATAAAATCAATCGGGTCACTTTGCAATGGCTTTCAGAAAGTTGTCATCTCAGAGATAAATTTCACTTACATTAAAAAAACGTAAAACGCGTAAATTACGTTCATTGGGACCATCCCCCAATTCATTATTATAATAGCACTTTACGTAGCTTGTTCTTTTACAAGCAGTCGATTGTTTCTTGCGTCTAATAATTTTGCGAAAGAAGAACACAGAGAATTTCCAAGAGAAAGAATGTAAAAAAGAAAAGAGAGAACTCTCGGCTGAAAGAAACAATGATAACTGGAGAGATTGCCAGCGTTCCAAGAAAAACTGGCCGGCTGGATGGAGTCACAGAGTCCTCGTTGTGTCCATCTCGTGGAAACGAATCTGTGTCACGGCTGAGAACCATCTCCGGCGAGATGTACGCCATCGTGTATGGCCGTTGAAACGAGAGAGGAGAGGAGAGAGTGTGCGAGGCAACCGAACAAAACGAAACGAAACGAAACATCGACGTGCAGGATGATTGTAGGTAACTCTGCCGAAAAAACGATGGATTACTCACTTGGCGAGCTTGCTTAAGATACTGGGAGACCTCTTCACAGCGATCTGCGACGGCGACCTTTCGATCTCGTTCGCCTCTGCGCCGGCCTTCTCGAACACTTGGAACCGGGACTTCACGTTCAGGCTCGACAACTCCTCGAGACCCAGGTCCGGTTTGTCTGAGGCTGCAACGGGGATTAAACAATATTTTTCTCTCTTTTCGTTTAAACGAAATAATGAATATATCGATCGCGACTGTTTTATGTTTCGATGGTACACCGTTTTGTTCGAGGCGATGGTTATGATATTCTAAATGCGGCGACTCTGAAATGCGGTTTCCGGGAGTCTAGCCAAGCTGCGATAAAATCGTTGAGTTCGCTCTAAAAAGAGGTTTTTTTTTTACTGCGAGCGAGTTAGTCGAGTTTGGGAACGGAGTAAATCGGATTTCGACAATCTTGCGTCCGCTGTGCTTGAAACGCTTTACTCGTTGTTACATTTGTCTGTTCTCGTTCGCGTTCGCGATCTGATAATTTTTATCTGTAATGTTAAAATTAAATATTTCTATTGTTAATTTTATTTCTTATCTTGTGATAAATATTTCTAGTTTTGATTTTAAAAACTTTCAAGTAATTTTCGTTAAACAGAGAATCGTCATAACTGGTTAGAGTGTGATTCCGCATTTAAAAATAAGAATCGAAAAGAGAAAGAATAAAATTTCTCCACGTGACGCTTCGTTTTCGAGGAAATTGAGGTTCGAAGGTTTATCAAGTATGTATGTATATGTTTACCAAGACAACTTTTGACGAAACATATTCAATCTGTTTTCTTAAAAACGTAGCTGTAAATGAAAAGATTTTATTCTACATTTTTTTACTTATTTTTATAATATGGGATACTCTCTTAATAATTAATTATTCTTCTTGTCCTTTTCTGTCGTGTCTAGAATTTATTTAGAGCATTCAAGTATCTAGTCTAGAAATTCAAGTATACAGCCTTGGTAATTAGAGTTCTTGGTAAATATACTCGTAAGAAAGAATATTAATAGTCACATTGAAAACACGTTTCTTTGCAATTATCCCAGCAACGGACACAAAATTGTCGTCATGCAACGATGATTGCCTCTCATCTACACTTACAGCATCCTTGCACTCGACAACGAAAAGAAAAAAGAAAAAAGAAAAAAAAAAAAAAAAGAACAATTAAACAAACCAAACACGATCGATTAGGGAATTAAGAACACAAAATGAAAGATTATGTATGATAACATGGAGGGAGAGGCTATAGATGAGACTAATAAATGCGCGTGCGTCGTTTGTTAACGATAAATCAGCAGATATTAAAATATAAAATAGGTGCAGTCTGTAAAACTCTGTTAGCCAACTGTTAGAATTTCTTCCACTCTTGGACGACATTTGGCCGCCGCTTGATCGTCACACTACCACCAGTCTCAAACTCTATTACCTCTGACCACATCGGGCGGCAGCTCTTTCGGCTCGTTCTCCCGTATGATCAGCTCCGGCTTTCGAGGTCGCACTACGAAGTTCACAAGACATCTCTTTGTCGCATTAACGATCTCTCTGCATTTACGTGTAATTATATGGAGGGAGGAAACGGGCGAACGGGTGAGGGGAAGAGAAAGAGAGAGAGAGAGAGAGAGAGAAGGGCAGAGTAATTTTCAGTGGCCACGAGATAAAGAGGGGAAGTCCCTCGCGCGTGGAACATACACGGAGGGTTTATTTCACCCATTCGTCCGTAACGTTTGATCGCATTTCCTTCGACCAACTTCTGATTCTTTGGCAGTGTTTTTTTGTTATTTCATTTCCAATTTTTTCCATCTTTTTTTAATCGTTTTACCAGCAGAGATCCACGAATTTTGAGAAAAAGGAATAGCTTTCTCCTTTTCTTTTTTTTTCTTGCTTTTCTTCCCTTAATCTTTTGGCAATGTAATACTAAAACTTGGAACGATATGACATGACAATTAAAACTTGGGAAGTTAGAATTTTAGAAAGTTTCTCTTCGTCTCAAGATTCTTTGGATTTTTGGTGTCGGGTAAGAGATTGTTAAATTGTTGAAGACGGAACAATGCTGTTTGTCTTTCTTCTCTTGTAGGAAATTTTTAAACGCTTGAAACGCTATTTTTTTTTTTACAGTTAAAAGAAGATAAATAATTCTGAAATAGACAAAGAAAGACGCTCTCTGTTTCATTCTCACGTGTAAATATATGAGATATAATTCAAATAACGAGATAAGAAATCTAGTGATCTAGTAAGTAAATTTCTCACGTATGAAATAATTTTTTCTGAATGTTTCAGAAACATCATTCCTCGCGGCATTTTAGTTCAGCTCACGGACTGTCACGAAGCACGGTGGAAGTATGTTTAAAAGACTCTAGTACTGTTTTTTCAATCACGTTACGCCGAAAACGTAAAATTCTCTCAATTGTTATCGCCAAAAATTAAAAGCTCGACGAAACAAGCTTATCGTGTTGTCGCAAATTCCTACGTTGTAAAAGAGTTAATCTCGCGAATCTTTAAAGTCCACCGTGACATGTTATTAACCCCTTAAGCGTTCTGTTTTATTTTGAGAATGAGTACACGAGCTTGATCATTTCTAGGCGAGTATACTCGACGAAAACGACAGTAAACGCACTTGCTGTAAGATTGAGATGAATTGTAACAAAATGATAAATGTTTTCAATTTTATTAGTATTTACAGAACTTGACGTTTTTTTGAAAATTGTTCCATAGGAGAAACCATCAAAATGTTGGTGAAAAGAAACCTGAATTTCTAATTCATAAAGAGAAGTAAAAAATCTCTCTGAGAGTTTTTTTCTTAAAAATATAAAAAAATTTATGCAACGGAAAATCAACAATTATAAACCATATGTATGCAGATTAGAAAAATATTTACCAGTTTAAACAATTTTATTATAATTAATTCACTTTGCAAGCTTGAAGTAACAACGATATTTGCACTTCTGTGCAAAATAAAAGCTTAAGCGTGAAATTCCATAAAACAGTTTGCACCTGGCATTAAACGTAGATGTACGCTGCATTTTGGAACATTTTATTTTTGGAACTCCTTTATACCCCGGAATTTTGCAGCGTCCTCTGTTGCCCGTCATCAATATTGTTATTGGTTATCTCAGAGATATATAATTAAAACGTATACTTGTGAAAGAACTAAAATTATTTGGTAAAGTGTCGATACATTAGCATGTAACCTGACATTTATACGGTCCCATAGAGACCGTTAAAATGATTCGAGATGAATTTAATTTGTTTTCAATTGTATCGATTATCTCGTTATTTTCAAGCGTTAAAATTCCAAATAATATACACAATTATTTTACTACCTAAATTTCACAACAAGTAGCAAAAGCGAATTTTTTCCTCTACGAGTGCATTAAACAAAAAAAAAAAAAAATTCCATCTTTTCACGGCTCGAGTATACTCGGATAAAATCAACGTTCAAGGGGACAGATCCAGCCGGAAGGAGCCAATTAAATACGACGGGGCGGATGAAAGAAGAGTCACGAGAAAATGGTGAAAAACCGCGATATCGAAGCGAGCAGAAAGATTTCGCGGAGATCAGAGATCTCGGGTGGCTATTTTAAGGCGAGTTTCCGCCTACGACTGGACTGGCGTAGACTCGAGGAGAACGCGAGTGTGATCGACTTACCAGGCTCGTCGGACTCTTCAACCGGTTTCGGTTGGAAGAGTTCCTTGAAGTGTGGCTTACAGTAAAGCGTGCTCTCGTGGCTCTCGTAATTGTCCACGTTGAGCTGCTTGCTACACTGGACGCACCGGAAGCAATTCTTGTGCCAGACAAGACCCTCGGCCTTTGTCTGTTCCATTTGGAAGACGACCTTGCCGCAGCTGCGACAATTCGGATTCGTGTCGCCATTCTGACCCACCTGCTGTCAAAAATTCGATTATTCCTCGACCGGCTCTTCACTTTCTTTCGCTCCACCCGTCCCTTCTCGTTCGTATCGTCCTCCCCCCCCCCCCTCCTCCCTCGTTCCCTCTAATCGCCTTGTTTTCGTCGTCTCAATTGCTCTGATTGAAGCCGAGTAAACTGGCAGATTGTGGGAACAAGCTGGCAACTCGAACGTGACACCATGTCTTTTTTTTTTTTTTGGGGGGGGGGGGGCGGGAACGTTTTACATCATATCTAAGAATAGCATTTCTAACTTGTCGTCGGCAAACTTTAATAAAAATATAACACTTTCAAGTATATATATATATATATATATCACAACGTGAGGAAGTTTAATATATTCGTTGCTATTAACATAGTGCAATAAAGTACCTTTTCAAACTAAATACAAAATATTCCGATCAATGGAATTTGCAATGAGAAATCTCCCTTCTGGCAAGTGTGATTTAAATTTTTGCCGAGCGTTCTTTCAACGCTGGAGATAATTATATATTGTAATTGTTATATATAATAAAGATGTTTTCCTCGAAAGAACGATAAGATAAGATCAAAGCGTGATTGTAGAATTTATAATATATAATAATATTAATATACATTATGTATTAATATTATATACATATATATTAATATATATAATGTCTATAATAATATATAAATAATATATATTATTATATACATAATGGATATAATAATATATAAAATAGTAAATGTTAATAGACTTCTTTTTAAACAAACGGTATATTACTCCTCTGTTGATTATTCACAAATTTCTCAAAAGCCCATGATTGGATTTGTGTCGAGTGCTTAGCTGTGTTTCTCAGTGACTTAACAGTTCTCTTAGTTTTGGTTGTAAGCTCTAGCTATAAGTATGTAAATAGCAAACACGTATCTTAGTTGTATATCAGTGTAATCCTTGTACAAATGTTTGAGAAATTGTTTCTGTACTGTTAGTATGCACAGCAATGTGCATACTGCTGATAACCCTATAGAGTGTTCTATAGCGTAAATAAAAAAAAAATTGTTAATATACATAATAAAATTTAAATCACGTGCTAAAGTTACGAAATAAAAATCTTCCTGATAAAGAAAAAAAAAAAAAAAAAGAAAAAGAACAGAAAGATACAACGCGCGATATAAATAAAATTCAAATTTTACCTCTTCAGGGTCAAAGTAAAAATTCTTCTGATGATATAACAAACATGTAGCCTGATACAACAAAGTTTCAGTATCCACTTAATTGTCCATCATTGGTCAAGAAAGGAATTCTCAAGATTTTTGAAAGAAAAACACAGCGAGTCTACGTTCGTACGTTAATAACAACGAGATTAACATTTTCGACGAAACGGATGATAGCTACTTTTTTTCTAATCAAAAGATCCGTATCCTTCAGCCGGGATTTTCTCCTCGGACGAGCAACGCCTTTGTGTTTCCTCTCCGTTACGAGAGAAAAAGATGACGAGATATGAAACGATCAATTCCACGCGAACGGCTTGAAACAGAAAGGCTATTTATGCGCTCTTCGTGGCTGAAGGGTTAAGTACGTCAATCTTAAAGTATCTCTGGAGAAAGAGAGAGAAAGAGAGAGAGAATGCATAATCTTACGGCGTTCAGCTGTTGTTGCACTTTGCCCGCGTCGATCGAGCGCACATGTAGCACCGTCTTCTTGCTGAGGGCGTCGAATTTATTGAAGCTCGACTTCTGTAAACACAAACAGTGCACGCGTCAAACGAGAAGTGCCCGGAAAGCCTTCGACCCTGGTCTTATCGTCGAGGGAGAGAGAACCTCGTGGATGCGTGTGTCATTCTAGTTTGAAGCTTGTTCAGCGTGGGCATGAAAGCGTGTCTCGCTGATCGGTGAGGAAGCCAGTACTTCTATATTCGCTTTGCTCCCTATTTTGTTTTTTTTACACGAATGCAAAAGGTACGCGAATTTTTTGGAGGATTATCTACCATAGCGTTCACGGTGGCGACATTTTTTGGTCGTGGCGATGCTTGGTGCGAGTGTTGTGTGCACTCTAAAGGAGATCTCGAAACAGTGTAGAGAGAGAGAGAGATCAAGGCTAGTTTCACGCGGACAGTGTCTTTTTCTAGACACGCCGTTGCTTCTAAAAATATTCGTGCAATAACAAAATTGTGTTCTATTAATAACTTTAAACGAAAGATATACTGTACTTTTGTTTACAAAGGATGAATCACTTTGATATACACTTGTAGTTAACGTACGTCACGATACATACACAATCAAATCTTGTTACCGTCCGAATGAATATTTTTAGAAGTAGCTGAGATCATTCATCTCTCGGAAGAGAAAGACTGACAGACTACTCTCGCATGAATAGAGCCGTGTTCACGTTAAAAACATTCCGGACAAGCCTGAAATGCTCAAAATTATACTGTATCTCCGTGTGCATCTAGTCCAAATAATTGTCCAATTATCAAATCGAAACAAATATCTAAATTGTACGTACAGTTTCTGGCAGTTTCTATCTCCAGCAACAAAGTGACGAACGTAACGAAACGTAAAATCTTCGTTTCAATCGAGTTGAAAGTACAGTGAAGAGCAAAACTACTAAGACCAACGACTAATGAAAAATTGTGGACGATTTAAGCTGGTGCAACTTTGTAAAAAAGGAAAGGTCGTACAACGATCCGCTAGAAAAGTTTCTGCTTTCACAGTCGTCAGTTCTTTTAAAGACGATTTTAATTAAAATTAAAAAATTAAAATATTCCTTTTCGCAATTAGATCCACCATTTTGAAAACTGAAGTCCCTCCTTCACAATGATTCCTCAAAACTTGTACAATCTTTTCTACACTATTTTATTGAATGTCAAGTACCAGAGTAAAAATTCAAGAAATCTCTCTTAATATTTTGTCATCTAACCCTAATTGTAATTAAAGCTCGACAAAATGGTGAAAATGGAGAAAAATCGTACCTCGGGTATTAAAAAGTCGTTGTAAAGAAAAAAATTTCAATATTTCGAGACCATGATGGATGTAGTTATGAAAAACAATTTGTTGATTTACACGCGTTCGAATTTCTACAGTTTTCGAGAGAAATGTGTCTTCCACCCTTATATGCCATGTAATATAAAGCCACCTTCGGAAAGAACAAACTCACGAGTGTTAAAATAGAGAAGTTACACTTAAAAATGATACGAAGTGGATCTCTTTCTACGACCAGAGCCGGGGCTAACTGGCGGCCTGCTAGCGCTTCCCCCTCCACTGCATCGATCGATTCAGTGGTGGGGGTAGCGCTAACGATCAGGAAACTAGGCAGCCAGTTAGCCAGCTTCAGTTTAAATTATCGACAATTTTCCATCGTCATTGGTAGTACAGTTGTTCACTGTAGGTTTTCAAGCAAATCGGAAAGAAAGTCGAACTAGCAACCATCTATCGATAAAAGCGAATTCCATTCGTCAAGTTTCATTTGGTGCGGAGATAATGGACAAATGCTAAGAAGAGAAGCTGCGTGAAACAGGCGAGAAACTTTTCGTAAGAGTAAGAGTAAAGCGTGGAAAGGTAAAACCTTGGTGAGAGCCGATTACACCGTGATTATGTTATTTCGGGAGAGAGGGGGAGAGGAGGAGGGGGTCTTACCTCGAGCCTCGGTCGATCCGTGTCCTTACCCTCGCTCGTTAAGTTTGCCAAACTACAGTAGGAAGCCCTCTGTCTCGTGATCGGTTTTCGGTAAGTTTTCGATTAATGTTTCATGCATTCCGGGGCCGAGGAAGGCACCGAACAAAAAGAAAGAAACAGCACGGGCTGTGGGTTAGTGTCGTGTGGTAAATATTCGAAGCGCTACCTTCATTCTCGAGTTCGTGGGATTCAGCGATTGGCGGCCGTTCGTGTTTCCACTCACCAGAGTTTGCTCGAACCGATACTCTACGATTTTCCATTTTTCACGAACTGTCTGCTTTTTTTTGCAGTTTATTCCGAACAAAATTTCCTCTCTTTCGTCTTTAAATATGGAAGAAGAATGCACAGGGTGTCTCAGGGTGACTCGTGAATGTGTCGAAAAGAAAGAATAGAATTTTTCCGTACGACGTTTCGTTTTCTAGAAAGTCGAATTTGAATGTTTGGATTTAGTTAATTCTAAGCGTGACGAAAAAAAAATAAAAAATAAAATAAAATTGACACTTGCGAAAATAAATAAACAACTTTTCTGCAAGATGCTCCATTTTCGAGAAAATCATGTTTGAATATTTATCAAGGAATATCGTGTAATTTCTAACGAAATGTATTCTTGAAACGAAAAAATTTTATTCAACGTTTTTTAATTTATTTGTGCGTATGAAATATTCCCGTGTCAATTGTTCGCACCTGTCCAGCATGGAATTAGCTAAATTCAAGTAAACTTTAATGAAAAAAAAATTTCATTCTTTCTCTTTCAAATAATTTAAATCGCTACTCATGTCAGTCACATCCTGTATAATACGAATATAACATATACGATAGAAGAATAGCGTAAATTTTAATGTTTGAAAAAGTGTTTACGATCAGACAGCGAATTTTTATGTACTTAGGGCTGAATTTGAAACTACGGACTACGTAATTTGAGCAAAGTACAAATTTTTCATACATTCACGAGAAATTTGGAGTATTTTTTTCAATAAGTTTTCGCCAACTTCTATCATTTATTCAGTTAAGTTTGTATCGAAAGAACAGATTTAAAATTCTATTCGATCTTTGATTTTTATCAACAGCATTGTTCGATGTTGTTACATTATGTCATAATTATTAACAGCATTGCAGAACGTTCGTACGTAAAATATTCTCTCAACGAAGAAAAGAAAAAAAGAAAAAAAGAAAAAAAAAAAAACACGTTGACCAAAGGAATCAGACCTGATTCCAAGTACGAAAACTGCTCTTTCCACATTAACGAAATTTCCAGCCGAGCGTGAGAATCGTTAACGCGACCGAATTGGCCGAGGAGCCAACCTTAAAAGGTTGTCGGTCGCCAGTTGGTTGATGCGAAATCGTCGCCAACCGCTGCATCGCCCGAGAGAAAGAGAAAAAGAGGACGAAGGAAAGAGAGAGAGAGAAAGAGGGAGAAGAACCGGAGACAGCTGGAATTGTTTCCCGGGCTTGAGCTTCGTTCGAAGGCTTTCCTTTTGGCACGAGTCCGTTCCCGAATGCTTTCTCCGACGACACGACGCGAGTACGTGCTCCGAAGAGTGTGATCTTTCCAGCCGGATCTATGCCAAATGGATCGAAATTTCGTAGGATATCCCCCGGCCGACTTTCAATTTAAATTTAAATTTAAACGCTCGTCTAGCGACAATCTATCGTCAATCGACTAGCTACAAATTACTAAACTACCTAAACTACCTAAAAATAGACGTTGGAGATGTAAATTATCAGATCGTCGGCGGGGAAAAAAAAAAAAAAAAAAAGAAGAAAGATGTTGGAAATCTGAAGACAGAGCGCACATCCACGGTGCTCGTTTCGAGACGATTTCACTCGCGAGCGTACGTACAGATCGCGAAGGCTGCGACGCCGGGGGAATTATGTCACACGATTCGAAATCCGTAACCGGATAACCGATAAACGGCGGATACACGCGGCGAAAAACTCGCAAGACCTCGATTCTCGGCCACCGCAAAGTGGGGCAAATGAGTAGTAGGTTATTATCAAAGCCGGCCCTCCCTTAAATGGAGAGACAGCATTCGCGCGGCGTTACGGCAGCCGACGACAACACACGGGCAAAACGACTCCGGTCTTTCCGCGAGTACTCGAGCGGATCGCTCACGTGCAAACTCGGGAAACTCCCTCTTCGATCTCTCTTCTCTGTACATGTGTGTACGTACACGCTAAAATGTATCCGGACACGTTGTACAATCTATTTGTAAGACTCGCGGGAGCAAGTTGCGCGCACGCACTCCCTTTATGTTTATTGGGAAAGTTTGCTTATAAGCCTCGATCTGACGAGGAGGAATTTAACGTTATTACGCATGATCAGAGAATGAGATTTTGTAGGGGTAACGTCATTTTTTTAAAAATTTAATAAACATTGCCATCTAGTGACGATAATTTAACTATAACCTATATTCTAAATATTGACGTTTAGCGTGCTTATTGTTAAATTATATTACAAATTGAAACTGTATTAACCCACGAGTGAAATAAAATTTTTCACAGTATTAAAAAAACGACGTTACTTATTACTAATAAATTAATCTTTAAATATCAATAAAATATGAAAATGAATTTCTATGAAATGTTATAAATTGATAAGTTACTTTAATTATAAAATATTAAAAAAATATTATAAAAATATTTAATTATAAAAATATTTCTGATAAAGATATTTAAGTATAAAAATATTTCTGATAAAGATATTTAATTATAAAAATATTTCTGACAAAAATATTTAATTATAAAAATATTTAATTATAAAAATATTGTAATATTAAAATATTATAAGTTGACCAAAGTGTTCGGATACAAAGTGAGCGATAGTGTACTGAAAAATTGAAAAAAAGATCAGTTTCATCGATCGATGTAATTATCGTGTCTCGTTCTTTTTTTCATTTGTTATTAGAGGGTTGTAAAAATTCCAGCCGTCTCCGACGCCCGTCCAACAGGTTCACGAAAGGTACTTACGAGGGCCTTGACCGACACCCCGGTGAAGACGAGCGCGTCTCTGGTGAACTTCGAGTAACCCTTCTCGCATACTCGCAGATCACCCAGCGACCTTGCTTTCTACGATCGTCGGGAGCGTCAATGGGAACTCAGATTAGCAGCAAGTTGCGAATAGTTTTCGCGGAGTGGCGAGCTTTGTGAACATACTTTTTTTCTCTTTTGCTCGTGAAACCTTTACCTCTGCGAAACATTTTATTTCTCCGAGTTTCCTCGCCAATTTTTCCTGCCCCCGCGGGTCGCAACCCTCGAAGGCTATCACCTCGTTTGAATTTCAGTTTCACATTGTCGTTTCGTTGTTTGCGATAATTTTCTCTACTTTTCTACTTAGTAATGAATGATTGTGAAATATTTTACTGCCAATTTTTTGGTGACTTTTGAAAGAGAAACAAATTTCTCTTCGGTCTAATAATATTCTGTTATTAACAATAAAATTTTAAATTTAAAAAATTTGAAATTACTTAAAATTACAAATTTAAAAAAATTCGAAATTACTTAGAGTCGCAAATTTAAAAAATTAAAAATTATTCAAAATTGCAACGTTACTTGAAACGTTAGAACTGTTACAAACAATAATTATTTTTCCTTATCAACTACCAATTTTTACTTATCGACTGTACCAATATCTGAAAAAGAAACAAACGTACCGAAGTGAAATCTCACCCTCACGCGAACTTCGCTTTAGTATCATCATCCCTTATCAATAACGTTGCTATATTATTTATATTATTTGGAATACTGACCATTGCAAACAGTGTTGCATGTAAACTCGACTTTTTACCAAATATCGAACGATACTAGAATACTCCATTACATTTGTCTAATTTAATCAGCTTCTGAGAGAAAAAACGTATCGAGGTGAAATCCCCTCTTCATCTTCTTTCGATGACAGCCTTCAAGAATTAAACTCGGGGACGGGGAGGTCTCGACAAACGTCACGAAGCTCGCACTCGTTATGCGATTAGTATGCTGTTACGATAATCAGGATAAAATTATTTGTTTTGTCGTCCAGTTAATCCTATTACCACGCGTCGCGAAGCGAAATAACGGAAGTTCGAAGTAGCTCATGCAGTAATAACTGTTAACAGGGCTCTGTCGTACCACGAAACATCGAACAACCGAGCAACATGCTCGCGACTAACTCCAATTACGCCGTCTCTATCGATCGAATTGTTTCTGTTTCTTGATTGATTCAAAAAGAAAAAAAAAGAAAACTAAATGTGTAGCGATTTTTCAGAGAAGATAAAAGGATTCGTGAGTCCATAATTGCGAAATTATGACCACGCATTCTCGTTAACCCTCGACTGCGAGTCTTCCTCTCTCATGGTTCGAATCGTCTTTTCGAATTACCGAACACCGTCCCGTTCAGAATCGCTTTCCATCGTTCCGTTAGTTGGATGTTAACAAAACGAAGGAAACGCCTGACACGCACAAGTGGCAACGGGCACGTTATTTTCGACACGTGCCACGAATATTTTAGCTAATTAAGGTCTACGTGCCGAGGGTTAATGCTGCCACTTCGAATTCAAGTCGCGCTAGAATTATTGGTGTCTTTGGTAATTTTTTTTTTTCTTTGCGGGGGAGAGGGAACGATCGTGAACTGAATCGAAAAATTTTTTCGACAGAGTCTCTCTGCCTAAATTCAATTTAATTTCTTCTTGCAATTAATCAGAAATTGAGATGTTTATGTATCTGTACGAAATTTAATTAATATTTCCAAAGTACAACTCACAACGTAAATATATCTACGTAAATATATCTATGTAAATTCGTTTTTTTTTTTTTTTTTTTTTTTTTTTGTGAATACGAAATATTTATACAAAAATACAAACTCGAAAACTGTGATAACAAATAATAATAATTTTATGAAAGAAATTCCCCATCTATAATTTTCACTCGTCACACGTGAATTATCCCCCTCAGATGATGCCCAAAGTATAATATACTCGTGTGGTAAACTAAATCTCTATACAGATCCGTTTCTTTACTAGCATTCACAAAAATACGAATTTGCAAGTCCATCTACAGTTTTCACTCGTCACGCGTGAATTAACCACTTGAAACAATCAATTAGGAGATTAATCGTAACGAATGCTGACAAACGAGTTAGCTAAAGACAATGAATATCGTAACTGGGAGGCAGACGATATATAAAACGTGTCATACAAACCTCTTCGATGTCCATCGTGTGATTGCTTTTCCCGTACGTGGTCTGATCGCCGTCGCTCATGTTCGAGATGTCGCCAAAGCTGCGACACTGTTAGTGACAAAATAACAACTGACAAAAGTGTAATTCGACGGCCGTTTGAAGCATTCTTTTCTCTTTCGAGCGCCCGTTGTGAGAAAGAAAGAAAAATGCAAGGCTCGAATTGAATAATTACGAATAAAATTTCGTAAATGACGCCTAATCACACCGGGGAAGAAAAAAAGTTTGTTTCACGTTGCCAAAGGTTTAAGATCGATTTATATAATATCCGAGAGTTCTGATTTTTATACATTCGCCTTGAATTTTAAATGATCGAAATCGAGCTGATTTTTTAAAATAATTGAAATCGGTTTTGACCTATTCTTAAATATCGAATGATTCAAATCTGCTTCACTTGACAAAAGATGTACATTCAATTTATTATCAACTGCCATAAAAAAAAAATAGCAAAATACTTGTTTCATTAGTGTTCAACTAGTGGCCTCATTTGTCTAAATGTACGAACATTTTTTTGACGTTTTCTGTTATATTTGTGGCAAATATACTATTGACGTAGTAAAAATGTGTTTTAAGTTGATCTGGAGACTTTGAGGTTCTCTCAACGATTAATGGGACTTGGAAAAAAAATTGTGAATTTTTCAAAACATTTTAATAGAAACAATGAACAATCAAAAATTGAAAAGTGTAAGAAAAGAAATTTGAAAACAGAAATTTTGCATACAAACAGAAATAAAAAAAAAAAAAAAAAAAAACAAAAA